GGGATAGGGAGAGGGGGTGGGGGGAAGGGTGAAACTACCACAGCGACTTTCTTTTTTTTCTTCTTCTAAAAATATTATGTTCAGGTCAATCAGCTGTGGTGAAGCTTCTTCCGATCTAACTCGGTACTAACTCACTCCCTTTTGTGTTGTGTTTTTCCCCCCCAGGTGAGCATCATCGCAGAGTCCGGTCTGGGTTGTCGGAGCAAGTTTCCTGTCCCTGAAGAGACACAGCGGCTGTGACATACGAGTAGACTGGAACGTGTTGGCTGCTCTGTACCCACAATCTAATGTGATTACTTTTCAGGGGATTCCGTCTGTGTAAACAGTTGCTGCCAAACCAATCATCGACTCGCGGGGGGGTGTTACGGTGTCGTTCATCAAATATTTACCCTCGACATCGACGACAATACTGTTGGAATTATTTTGTTCCGAGTCCGGGTCATTCTCTGGGGCAGATTGAACGTCATTAAATATTGAGCTCAACGGCACTCTTCTCATTTCCCAGATACAGACAATGGGTTTGGAATCTTAAAGGTATAATCTCAACACTCTGAATCAAGCATGATTGTGTTTCAGTCTTAGCTCTCGAGTTTAAAAAAAAATCTTCCTTTAAAGTTGAAAATCCAGCTAGCCACCCATCCAACATCATCAAGATGCCTGGAATTAACGATACCTGGATCCCCAGAACCGTGTCCCGAAGCGACCTAATTATCGGCGACATGGAAGACACTGGCTCCTCCTCTTCCTCCTCCTCCTCATCCTCCTCCTCCTCCAGCAGTTCCGCTTACCAGAGATTCGATTACTTCTTGCGGGATCCGGATAACCAAACCGTGATCTATCGGAACTGGAGCCATCAGAGCCCGGATGAGGACGACATGAGCGAGCAGACGACACAAATGGCGGACGGCGTCCAGCCCGTCTACGCTCAGATCATCATCGTCATGATGTACGTCCTCATTATCATCGTGGCTGTGGGCGGGAATCTGCTCTTTTCTTACGTAATCGTGATGCGGCCCAAAATGAGGTCAGTGACGAACCTGTTCCTTCTCAACCTGGCAGTCAGCGACATCCTCAAGGCCGTCATCTGTAACCCCTTCGCCTTCATGGCCAACCTCATCCTCATGTACTGGCCGTACGGGGACCTCATGTGTCCCGTGGTCACCTATGTACAGGTAAGACTTTCGGCACACACTTTGTATCAGAATTATTTCAGATCTTTATCCGATGATTCAAACCCTGAATATACCAAGTCATCATTTGTCTCTGGTTAAGAAATAATAACCTTTTGATAGAGATTTTTACTTTTTTAAAAGTAGTATATACAAGA